TATATATATATTATATATATAATATATATGTTGCACAGTGCCCAACCCACCATCAGCTATCAGTATTGCATAAATTTGTAAAGGAATACTCTTTCAGATTCACTCATATGATATTTACTGGGTGCACATGATGTGCCAGGCACTGCTCTAGAATTTTGGGCAGTATCAGGGAACAGAACAAATCCAAGTTCTTCTAGAGCTGAGGTAGCCTGAAAGTAAGAGGTGGCGGGAGAGAGACAACAAATTAAAAATAAATAAATAAATTATATAATATGTTACAAGTGATAGAGGAATGGAAAAAAAAAAAAAGAAACGGTAGAGGGGCAGCTGGCTAGCTCAGGTGGTTAGAGCGCAGGCTCGTAACACCAAAGTTGCCAGTTTGATTCCCACCTGGACTGCACCCTCCACAACTAGATTGAAGACAACTACCTGACTTGGAGCTGATGGGCCCTGGAAAAACACACTGTTCCCCAATAAAATTTCTTTAAAAAGAAAGAAAGAAAAGGTAGAGTTGAATGAGGGGAGGGGAGAATAAATTACAATTTAAAAAAGACCCAATACAGTGAGCATCATTGAACAGGCTTCACAGAGATGAAGGAGTTAACAGCATAAACTGTTCCCAAATTGGTCTTCCTTCAGCCCCATAGAAATAGCTCCTTTCTCACCTCCCAGACCTGCGGAATGATAATAGTCATAATAACCGCTTGATAATATCTGTTGAATCCTAGCACAGGTTCTAAGTACTTTCTCTGTACAAATTCATGAAATCCTCATAGCCACCCAAAGAGAGCGCTAAATTTATTCCCATTTTCATAGCAAAGTTAAGGAACTGGGCTCATAATCTGCAGCTGGAAGGGGAGGAGATGGTACACAAACCTTGACCTTCCGGCTCCAGGCCTCGGCTCTTAAGCCCTCAGCACAGTCCCTTCCCAGATGACTGCCCGCTCACGCTTTTCTTTCCCAGACACGTGCCTGGGGCCCAGTTCCTTTCATTGTATATGATTCCTAGGATGAGATTTAAAGTCTCTTTTTCCTGGGGTTTGTACTAGGACTACTCTAGCTTTTAGCTAATGTCACTGCATAAGTGGGGCACTCAGAGCTTCCTCAATGCTTCCCACCCAAGCACACCCTGACCAGCAACCCTTACATAGGTTTTGTAAGGTCACAGTGATCAAAATAAACACTAATTTTTTCTCAGTTTTGATATAAAAAGTCACATACATCTTTTCTTCAGCAAATGTCACTGTGGTTTCAAAGACTAAGTGTGATGTGTGAGGGGGGTAGCATTTTAAAAGTATTTCCTGCTCAACCATAGGGTGAAATTATGCAAGCCAGTGAGTCCAGAAAACAGCTACATCAAATTCTTAACACCTGCAAAAAAAAAAAAAGTTTGAAAATAATTTTACGTTGTTTTTAATTTGGGGATTGGTTGGCTTTTTGTTGTTTCAAATTGTGAAGGACCTTCCAATTCATTAAACCTTCATTTCAAAAGAGAGAATTTGGGAACTTTAAAAGAGTTTTGCAAATCTAAGGGAGACACTTCACTAGAATTATATTTTCACGAATGCACGTAAAACTTTTCCTGGACTGGGCCTGGGGACAGTTCCTTAAAACAACAAAAGTCCCGGGCACTAGTTTTCTAGGAAGCCTTATAATCACCCCCTTGGCTTCTTGGTAGTTTCCCATCCTTGGGGGGAGGGCAGAGGGAGATCCCGTGTGTGTGTGTGTGTGTGTGTGTGTGTGTGTGTGTGTGTGTGTGTGTGTGT